TTCTAATAAAACTTTCTTTTGGTTGTCTAATTATAAATAAACGTTTCAGCTCTTATAAATCTGTTCTAGCATCGATATTATACATAGGGAAAACTACCTCTACTTCACTTGATCACGTACCTCCCTGATAATACTCACGATTTTGTAGTTGTTATTTAAGTTGTCACACTGTAAGCTATTATTGTGACTGGGAACTTGATTTGTTGTGAAATCCTGTTGTGTGCTGTCCAGACGTGACAATATAAAATGTCTTTAGTCACACCAATAAAAACTATTTTGCCTAGTGCAACGAGAAATAGACTGTAATCCTTTTTTTATAATTTAAGTTTTGTTATGAAAAACAAAATTCTTTCGTTTTATAATTTAAGTTTTGTTATGAAAAACAAAATTCTTTCGTTATAATTATTTCTTTAAAAGCAATGCATTACCTACACACCTACACATTTTTCATGTTTTTATTTTTATTGAAATTATAAATATTCGCAAATTATTTATTAGTGCTAATTAAAATAATTAATTTATATTAATTGGTTAAATTCAGTTGACTATTTAGTTAATACTATTATTTTTACTAATATAAATTAGTCATGCCGTATTAAACAAAAATTGATTACATATCTGATAAGACTGACTATAAGCTATTAACTTAATGTATATTTCTAATGAGAAAAAGATATTGTTTAACACAAATTTCAGCATTATATTGATTGCAAATAAAAATAACAAGGAGACAATGCATTCGAAAAATACTTTAGTCAAGCCAAAAAAAATAAATTTTTATTATAATAATGGAAATATTTAATTTGTTATTTTTATAAAATATTTAATTTGTTATTTTTAAAAATTTCATCATCATATTACTTTATTTAACCAGTGATAGCATTTACAATATTTCTTTAGTTCCATATCCTTCATAAAATAATTTCTCATACATGTATTGGCTATTAGTATGTCATAATACCTATCAATTCGTTCGCCATCTTTATAAAAGCTTCCTAAATTATGCTGAGCCGCATTAAGTCCTTTTTCGGCAGCATTAAATGCTTCTTTTTTACCTATACCCACACGTATACCTTTGCCATAACCATATCTTCTGCCCAAATTCAGAAAAGGAAATATTGAAATAAAATTTTGTTAATCCTAATGTTTTCTAAATTTGGGCGGCATGTAGACTTTTATTAAACCAATGAAATCCTTTAACTTCATCCTTTCTCAGTTCCACCATTATCACTAGTTTCTTGAATCATCTGTTTTCCAAATGATTTAGTTCATAATTATAATAATCCAAAGTTGAGTCAAGAATTTATCGATGATTAATGAATTGATTAAAAAAAATGTGTAATTAGCTTGTAAAATTATCAATTGGGGCTGAATAAACTTATTTTCGTTGAAAATTGATCTTATATCCATGTGCATACGACCAAAATTGGGTTAGTTACACTTGATGATCAATTTTTATATTAATAAAATAAATAAGCACATCTCGGGGGATTTTCGGAAATTATTATGGTAATATAGAAAATTAGTATACAATAACCCCCGAAATTATACATACTTTTATAAATAATAAAAGTATTGAATAAAATTTTATTATACTAACTAAAGCAAGGTAATATAGAAAATTAGTACAGTACGATTGCGCAATCTAATAAGTACGTATAGGAGTTTCGGAAATTAGTATAGTACGATTACGAATTTTAGTATAGTACGGTAGTACGATTCGAATTACATATCTCTTTATTATACATACAAATATAGTATCTACGTATAATAATGTTGAATTAAATTTTATTATACTAACTAAAGCAAGGTAATATAGCAAATTAGTACAGTACAATTGTGCAATCTAGTAAGTACGTATAGATAATCGGTAGGGGTTTCGGAAATTTGTACAGTACGATTGAGAATTTTTTACAGTAGTACGATTAGTACGAACGTTTTTTTTTTTTTTTTTCGTAAGTTCTTATCCTTTATTCATTCAATATTAGGTTTATAATGATAGCATAATAAATAATAAATCAAAATAAGTAAAATACATATTTAGAATAAGGATTGGCTAGGCAAGCCTATATTAAACTACGACCTGACCAGCTACGACCAGTAATTTATTACTCCGAAGAGGTCAAGACCCCAAGTTGTCTATGTCAAAAAGATTGTCATGAATATCGCGATTATTAGTAATATAATTATATAAACTATTGGTATTTACAATTCCTAATGTTTCTTTGCACTACCATTCGATTTCTTCTTCATTTTATTAATAAAATACTGTCTATTGTCATGTTTCGTGATCTTAACCCACTTTACCCACTCAATAAATTTTTCGCATCTTTTGAGCCACACCTCCCATTTCTTATCTGTCAGTTTCTCCCAAACTACCTTTATTATGGAACTTTCTATTCTCGACGTATTTAATATATTTGGCCAACTTTTTTTTGAATTTTTTCGGGACTAGCCTACGTATAATCTCCGCAAATGTGATACTTCGATTATTTGCGATCATGTTTGCTTGTCTGGTCGCATCTATTTGACAAAATGCTTTCTTTTGATTGCATTAGCTATAAGTTCTCTTTTAGTTTCTCCAAGGATGTTTACAACTCGATCAGATTATACTTGTATAAATCCTTTCTGTAATAGTGTGAGCATTCCCCCCACATTCGAACACATGCATTGTTGTTTCGACTATTTTAAGACAGCTTATGAATTGGGCATCTTTATATAAACCCGGTTGTCGCTCTGTTAGTAAATTTTTCGTAGGGAGTTCATCCGTTAAAATCTTTATTGCGAAACGCCTAGCTGCGTTGTCTAACATTAATTATTTATTGAGATATTCTCTAAAGATGTATAAAGGCATAAAAACGAGTAAAATGCACATACGCCTATACCAAAAATAGAAGAAGCAAAATGATATTCGTTATAATATTTTTGATGAATTGACAAGCGGAAACGACGCAATTGATAAATAATTGTTTCAATTAATAATTATTTTGAGCATAAGATGTAATAATTTATTTACAGATATTTATTAAGGTGATGACATAAAAAAAAAAATTGAGTAATTATTACATTATTGAAGGTTAGAAGAATTATATTTATTTGTGGGTAATAAATTATTTCATAATAGATTAAAATAATAATAAAAATAAAAATAAATAATAATACAATAAAATTAAATATAATAATAATAAAATTATAATAATAATAATAATTACCAAGGTTGGATTCCAAACTTGCATACAAATTCAAAAATTATTCACTCTGAAAATGTTTTTTTTTCGCGTGATTAATAAATAAAATAACAGATAAATGTTAATCACATCATTTTTTTTATAATTCTTATTGTAAATTATTATTAAAAAAAATTAGATTTCCTTTTCTATACATGACATGTGTTATTAGTTTATGAATCTGCATTTAGAAAATTATTTGTATGGGCGAAAAATTAGAATTTTAGTGATACGTATTTTTTAAACCGCATTTCTCTTATGGAATAATTCCAGCCTTCGTGTGGATATTCATAGCTACCTGGGTCAAGAATCCAAGAATAAGTAAAGTAAGTAATTTTTTATTTTTTTTTGTCATATCTCTACTATCAGTAATCGCCTTTAAAAGACTTTTGATTGGTGGGTTTCAGATTCCGTGTTACCATTTTTATTAGTCCTATCGGTTATGAGGTTTATTTAAATTTTGTAACGTGAAAAAGTAACAGGAGATCTCTTATGCCCAAACAAAGCCTCTAGAGAAGCTTTGGCAAGTTTTTCCAGATCAAAGGATTTACGAAGGATAGAAATTGATGCAACGTTGTGTTACTGGGAAAAGATAACAGGTTATCTCCTGTGAAGCTTTGGTAATCCTTGACATAGTAAAAAAAAAAAATCTTTGAGCGATTAATTAAAACTGTTCAGAAGGTATAAAAGTACTTGAATACTGTATTCGTTTTTGCTAAGCTGGCTTACAAACGGATTGAAAAATTATTTTTTCTTTAATTACAAATACTCACGAATTTTTTTATACCTCCAGAACATTGAGACGTAATTTTTAATACATTGAACAAAGTAAACTGCCTTTGAGTGACTAATTAAAACTGTTCAGAAGGTATGTGTGTAATTGAATATTTATTTTCGCTAAGCTGGCTTACGAACTGATTGAAATACGAATTTTTCTTTAATTACAAATACTCACGAATTTTTTTACAGTTCCATTTTACATCAAAGTAAACTGCCTTTGAGCGACTAATTAAAACTGTTCAGAAGGTATGAAAATAATTGAATATTTGTTTTCATTAGGCTGGCTTACAAACGGTTTGAAATACAAATTTTTCTTTAATTACAAATACTCACGAATTTTTTTACAGTAGAATTAGTTTAATAAATATGGTAAAATAATATGATATATTAATAATTAAAAATAACAAATAAATAAGTTTCAATATTTTATAATTGTTTTGAATTAGAAACCTATTTTATTATTATTTTTCATTTGTATATACAAATTCTGTTTATTTATATTGTAGAAAAAAAAAATTAAATGTTTCATATAAGTAAAAATAATAAAAATAAAATGAAATACAATACCATTATTAATTATAATTTTAATATTCTCCCATATTTATTAAACCCATTGTGGTTGCGCACTCAATAAATGTCAACAACTACAACTGAATGTGCAAAATTAGAAACAGACACCCACCCTCTAATGCAAAATCGAATAGCAACAAATCAAAAACGTAAAGGCAAACAGATAGATTCACGTGTAAATAAGATAAAAACAATAGAAGAAAAAATAAATAACAAAAAAATCCCCATGCCTCCGGCACGGGTCCTACGCTAGTAATATTTAATTTTTTAATTTATGCTTATAAAATTCTAATAATTGGCAATATATTGAGTTCTTTATTTAATGCCGAAAATTTTATGGCTAAATTTAGACAAAAAGTAATAACTCATTCCTAATAATCATGATTAAAAAGGTAAATTGTGTCACAAGAATAATTTAAATTGTGCAAACTTTTTTTCCTGATTATATAAAATCCTATTTATTAAAATTAGATGCTTGATTGTTCGGATATTTGGTTTTAAATAAAATCAACCAAAAATATTAATTCAAATTGTTAATCATGATGTCTTTCGATTTCGATAACTATTTATTGTAAGTATCAATTATATGCATTTGTTGCTTAAAACTGGTGCTATATCTTTTATTGGTACCATATTTGATGTTATCTAATGAAATTAAAACTTTACTTAGACACAACTAAAAAACGATAAAAGTTAACAAATAATTCTTTATCGTTGTATATGTAAAACTTTATTTTTACTAATAAAATGTTGAAAGTACTAAGTAATTTTAAAGATAAAGATAATGTGCAGCTACTGTATTGTAAGAATTGAAGGAATAATTAACATTTAAATTTAAAAACAAATGCTAATTATTTCCTCAATTACTATGCTATAGGTCTGAAAACTTTAAAATGGATGAACAACATTTTTATTTAGGTTACTTAGTTTTCTGTTGATTTTTTACTATTAAATAATAACTTTTAAAAACC